TTATGGTTTCAAACAAGGAAGTGAATAAATTGAAGTATCCCATACTAGGCTTGTCATTATATAGTTTTCCATAACAAGGTTTAGGGAAGGTAGACTGAATTTATTTATTCTTGCCCTCGTCTATGAGAACTTTCTGCAGGCATTACTTCTAGGATCGTTAATTATGAGCTGTGATCACAAAAGATGATCCTTTCATAATGGAGTTGGTCATTGTATTAATTTTTTTACACAAGGTTTTCTGAAGGGAAGAGCTTGAAGTGTGAGGAAGACTAATCTCATGAGTGTAAAAACCAAAAGGAAATGAAATTGGTGACTGACAAAATAAATGCATCTTGCAGTTTTCTGATGCTTTGTTGGATAACGTTGCTCACAGCTTGTTCTGTCTACTTCTTACACATAATGAAGAGTAACTTAATTTGATGTATTAAAATTTTTCTTCTAATAAAATTATATACACTAAATTAAACACTTTGAGATCTCACTTGTCTGTGGCAGTCTGTAAGAGGAGATTCAGACAAATTCAAGCCAAATCTAGCCTGTTAGCTTCTCTGCCTTTCTGACCAGCTTGATTTATTTTTTTTTAACTCTAGCAACAGGGATAACGCATTTTTGCCAAGAGTTTTGTGGAAGGAAGGGATGAAAGGAAGGCTGTTTATAAACTAACTTTTGGGTTTCTATTGGATGCATACACTAAGATAAAACAGAGAAAAGTGGAGAGTATGATTCTGGTTTTAGTATTGTGTAACATTCTAAAAAATTAATTTTCAAAGGATAATGTGTTTTGTGTTCTTCCCTCATAAGTCTTCTTTATGTATGCAGACAGGTGACACTGCATTTGTTATGGTTTTGGTTCCCCCCCACCCCAGTGTGTCTTTACATTACATTACAGAATGAGTCTTTTTAAAGACTGCTGTGTACACACAGAACTGTGAGAGGATGTCATGAGGAGATGGGAAAAGATATAATTAAACCTTGTTATTTCTTAGAATAGTAGGTCACCTAATAATGAAACATAGATTGATCTTATGTTTATAAAACCTCTTTTTCTTGCCCATGTGATCTTTATATTGGATGGAAGTAGGCATTTCAGCCTCTAATTTTTTTCCCAAAGAGGCCCTTTTAAACATGAGTGAAATAATTCTAACAAAATAGTCCAAATTCTTAAAATGTACTTAAAAAATTAGAATAATGCAGTACAATTCTTAATGTCTGTATCTTTTTCCAGTAGAGTATTGTCGAAATCGCTAATATCTTGATTTAACAGCATGTTTTAATATTAGTGCATTTTAATAGTATTGATATTGTTGGTTTTTTTTTCCTTTTAAATTGACAAAGAAATAGCTGTAATTCATGTCTTCCTTCCCCCCCTGCTTGCTAAAATTCAGTTAATGTGTGGCCATGGTACAGCAATATGAATAAGCAGGAGCACAAGACTTATTTTAAGCTTATTATTATTTTTCTTTTATTAAGACTTATTTTTTTGTAGAGCACATTATATAAGGATTGTATATGAGACAATAAGGAATGAGATTCTGGGAGTTAAAATGTCTTGTATCCTGTATAGCCATGCATCACACTTTTATGTGATATGATCTTACGGTATCAGTAAAGATTCAAGCCAAGAAATGAGTTTCAGTAATCACCATCCACTCATTTAACCATGGTAATATTATGTGGATGTTCTGCTAGTCTTAAGTGCATTCTTAAAGATCTTATTATTTTATTCTTCCAATATTATCTCAGTCAATGGGTAGAATAAAGGATGTTATCAAGAATGAATAGTTGTTTTACCATTTTTCTGTCTCTTTTTCCAAAGGCGAGATAAAGATTTAAGTGTATCCAAGTCTGCTAGTAAGTGTGGAAATATTTATTGCATGTCAAAACAAACAAACAAACAAGTCGTGGAAGTTCACATTGTACCGCGTGATGGCATTTTGCTGGTGCTGTAAAGGTCAGACGGTTTTATGTTTCAGAGATAAGTAAAATGCATTTTGTTTGCAGGCACTGATGATGTTGTAGGGCCAGAAGGTATGGAGAAATTTTGTGAAGACATTGGAGTTGAACCAGAAAATGTAAGTGCAAGGTCCTTTCAGAAGATGCCTCATCTGGTATGATGTGCATGAGCCAGTCTTATTTTCCATCAAGAATTGACAAAATTCTTGGGATTTGTTTGTTTGTTTTTTTTCTAATAAAGAAATATAAACCAAAGAGGCTTATATACATGTTTGGAAACAACTTGCCTTTATTTTAAATCCTAAACTGTCAACCTATAAAAACTCAAATTGTCTTTACTGCCACTTCTTCTCTTTCCCAGCCCCTGCCCACCTGCAAAAAAAGAGAAATTGCTTAAAAAACAAAACAAAAAACCCCACAACAAACACAAACAAAAAGCTGATGGTTTTCTTTTCTGAAACAGTCAACACTGGAGATTCAATGTGCCAACTACAGAACTACAAAGTAATGTTTTCTTTGGGTTTTCTAGGAAAGAAAGGGATTTCAAATATTGTGGGCAATATTAGCACTCCCATTATGCCATTACAAAACACAAATAAGGAATATATATATAATTATTTACATATATATAAATAAATAAAATCTAAAGAAGAATAGTTGTGCCTTTTACAGGCTATTTCCTAGTGCTTAACTTTTGCTTTTTAAATGTCTATGCAATTTCTGTGTTTCACAGGATGTGTAAAGCATCATCTCTGACTAAGTAAAATAAGAATTGAGGTCTTGAAAGATGTACTGGAAATATGAGATGTAATTTGCTTATTTTGGAGTTTATTAGTATAATAAACCCTTGAGATTTATGCAGATGTAAATATATGAGTATATAAGTAGGTATTCTGATTTTGTATTAAAAACTGTATAGACTTGCACCAACATTAGTTAGTTAATGGCTGAGTTGTAAATTTAAATAAGTTCATTTTTTTTTCTAGTCTGCAGAGTTTGTCACTTTTGTGTTTTTTAACTTTTAAAATGGCGTAGCAAAGATGTAAACATCCCATTTATGAGTAAAGCATTCGTAGCCTAAACAGTAGTTGTTTGAGAAATGTGTGGATCTTTTTGTTAATTCTTCTCAGTCTTCACTTTTTTTTTTTCTTCTTTAAAACAGGTAGTTATGCTTGTACTAGCATGGAAGTTAGATGCACAAAACATGGGCTACTTTACATTACAAGAGTGGTTAAAAGGAATGACATCATTACAGTAAGTGGAAAAGCCTCTTGTTTGTTACAGTAAACCTGTTTGTTTTTTTTAGAAAAAACACACTTTGATGTTTTGACTCATAACACCTAAAGCAGAGAGCTCTACTGTGGAGTAAAACTATCTTTTTTGGTCCTACTTAAGCTGATATGGCCACTTAAAGACCACTTGAAACCTGACAGCTGCATGTTTAAATACAGTTGGATTAAAATGTCTGCAATCTCAAGAAAACAAGTGTCATGAGGTTCAACGCTGTTTCTGTCCCCAAGGACATCTATCTTTGTCACTGGATTGCACCTATCTGTTAGATATTGGTATGTTGTTAGAGCATGTGTAGTTTAAAATGCTATGAGAAAAACAATCCTTTCTGTGATTCTCCACTTCAGAGCATAAGCATGCTTCATGGCATAATGAACATGAATGCAGCTGAATGATTGAGTTTCATAGAGAGTTGGAGAAGGAATTGTATTTTGTCTTAGCTTCCAGAACAGAATCACTAAAAGTGTCTAGGAAGTTCTATAGTTTCAGCAAAACTATAGAAGTATTGTTTCACTGCTGTGGTTTGCTGGTTGTTTGCCATGTGTAGGCAAGCTCTTAGTTTAATCTGTTGGAGAGTGCATTTTCTACAAACCCAAACAAATTTTTATCGGAGTACCAGTGTAAGTCTTTGCTGTTTTGTCTAAATCTATTTCACACTGTGGGTTTATGCAGATGAACTTATAAATGTGCTTTTGCACAGAGTGATATATTTTGGAATGGAGTGATGGGGTTATGTGATAGAGATCCTTTTCTAAAACATTAAACATCTGTATAGGAATGCAGACTCTAAATTCACTTTGTGCTTTTCTTGTAGATGTGATACTACAGAAAAACTGAGAAGTTCTCTGGATTACTTGAGATCTTTATTAAATGAGCCTACCAATTTTAAACTTATTTATAGATATGCTTTTGACTTTGCACGGGTAAGTACGGTGGAAGACCAATATCTGAAATTAAAACTTTAATTTCAGAATTTCTTTCATAATTGAAAGAATGTATACTTCTAAGAATGTTTCTCTTAAAATGCCACTCCAGATCGGAACTGTTCCTGTCGTAAAAAAGTATATGTAAAATGCCTAAACTGGAAAAGTATACAGGATGCTTGATGATCAATGGTTTAGTGTTTTGATATGTTTTGTTACCTTTCTGCTTCAAGCTATTTTGTGATTTAAAGGAAATAATTTAGGCCCTATTCTTTTGCATATTGGAGCTTTACCACTTACTTCCACTAACTTTATAATTACCTTGGTTTTTCTACTTACTGTTTGAATTTTGTGAGCATAAGCATATTTAAGAGGAAGGCACTTCAGACATTTCTGCAGGTGATAAAAATAACTAACAGGTAAAAGCTGGATAGGATATAATATAAATACTAGTTCAGATGACTGATGGAACGTCACTAATGATGTTCTTAGTATTTGTTTAAAAACATCCTGATATCAGCCTTCCTACTATAAAATAAAGCCTTTGACACAGTCTCCCACAGCA